GAAGAGTTTTTAATGGAATTGAAATTGAAATCGAAATTGAAATTGGAATTGGAATCAGAATCGGAATAGAATTGAGTTTTAAAAGTGTGTTTGGTATGAAGATGGAATTCTAATATAATATTAATTTATATAAGTATTTAAAATAGGAAAAGACTAAATTGTCCTTTTTTAAAAAATTAAAAAGACTTATCTTATTATAAATGGACAAAAAAGATGAGGATAGTGGGGTTCACAAATTAAATTCAAGGGAATTGAAGCAATTCCATGGTCAATATGATGGAATTGGATTCTGACATTTTTTATAGAATTAGGATTCTTAAAAATTATAATTCTTACATATCAATCATACTTAAATTATGATTCTATCTTTGATTCCATTTTCGCCTTGCCAATTCAATGTTATCAAACATGACCTAAATCTTTTTTATTTTTGTCCTCCCCACTCTTAAGCCTTGAATTTCAAAACATTTTCAAAGTTGGCCTTTTCTTTGAGAACAATATGATCTCAAATAATTAAATTGACCAAGTTTTTCAATAAAGAAGTTAAATTAACTTTCTATTGGAAATGAATGAACCATGTTTGTGCCCTTGAAACTTTTTCCACGTGAATTTGCATACGCTTAATGAACTGTAAAGTCATGGATAGCCCAGAAGCCCCACAGGCAAAGCTAAAAGTGAGCAGGACCAATTGAGTGTACTGTTATTTTCTTTACTTTAGATTTAGATGTAATTTTTAGGTTAATAATACAGTACTCAACTTTAGAATTCTCATAGATCTCAATTAGGTGGACATTAATGTACCATGTTATTGTCTGACAAGATTCCTTGTGTTTCAAGTGAAAATATAGCATGTAAGCTATTCCCTCACAATCTATTTATAAAATAAAAAAAAAATTAATCATATTTATAAGTTACATTATTAAATTTTTATCATAATTTTTTAAAAAAATAGATTGTTAAAATATATGTGTATGTGTGTGTGTATATAATAAAAGTAAATTTAAAATTTATTAAATTTTTAAATATAATTAATGAGTTTTAAGATTTTTTTTAATTTTAATAAAAAATGTTAGAAGTAACTTATAAATAAATTTAAAGAAATATTAAAATTGTAAGCTGTTGTAAGCTCCCCTTAACTGTAACAGTTAAAATTGTAATCATATAGGCTATTAGCAATAAATAAATTCTCATTCTTAATTGTTTGAATTCCAACGAAAGTATAAGGCATTAAAAATAAAATAAAAAATCAAATTGAGTTGGGGTTAAATTTACTTCATTTAAGTCTAAGAATGCTTGAAATCTAATATAGTAATAATAAATACTGGATAATTAATTTTTAGTCCATCAGACTCAATTATTGATTTGGTTAATGAAGTTTAATTTATCAATTTGGATCATATTATTTAAAGAAGATGTAATATTATTCAAATTTTTTGACACGGATGATAAAATATTGATAAAAGTCATGTAAAGAAGTATAATTATTTAAGTAGGAAAAAAAAAACATACTCAAAAGTGTTTAAAAACAAACAAGTAAAACACAGGGATGAGATTAATAAGAATTAAACTAATTTGAATGATAATTTATTCTCATTTAACTCTATATATGTATATATATGCACTAAGTTATCAATATACTTTGCATATTAAATTAATTTAAGGGCCAATATGTGTTTTTAAACTTAAGCTATTAACATGATAATTTGAGAAAATATTATAAGGGACTAAATTAATCAAAATTAAACTTGAGAAACTTAATTAATAATTAAGACAAATTCAAAAGGCTAAAAGTTTTATTAGCTATATTTTAAATACCAAATAGACGGTTACATAAAAATAGAAAAAGGTTGAGAAGTTAGGGAAGAAACTAAAACCCTTGTGAATCAAAATTCAAGAAGTCATCCATGAGTAAGTATTTTTACTAATTTAATAATAATTTTGAGTATAAAAACGTTGAGTAATGTTAATGATTATCTCACATATTCCATTTTTTTCTTGTAATCTACCTATGCTATAATTGGACTTGGTTACGGCATTACATCATGTGATGGAGATAGCAGCTCATATGCTCTCAATCAAGCTTTGCCTTAAATTTAAATTTTAAGGTCATTGATTTTTTCATTGCTTAATTCTTACTGGACCTATAATTGGCATATGCTTATATGAGATTTTATACGCCAAACATGTCATGATAATATCTTTTTGAGAATTTGAGTTTAATAATTAAGTTTCACTCTTCATTTTGGTGCTGCTTGATATTCTCATGGAATGAGAATCACATTGTTTTATTCTGTAGTAATATTTATTATGCCTTTATATTCATTTTTTATAATGCTCAAAGTAAACATATAAAATTATTTTAATTTTAAATTTGTATTTATTTATTTTCTTTTTTTATTTCATTATTTGGTATCCTAGAAAACAAGTGTTACCATCTCCTATCTAAATTAATCTAAATTTTTGCTGTATGGAACCATTATTACTAACAATAACCTCATAAATATCTCAAGAATACTTTTAGCATATTTATTAACATGTTTGCATATCCCAAAACTTAAATTTGAAATCATAGATAAACTAATTTAACTTCTTCTACTAATTAAACCAAGCACTCCCCAATCATTTTCCTTTTTGCACTTCATTCCATACTAAACTGAGTTCTCAAAAGCCAATTATTTTAAGCAACTTAATATGATATGAGTGATTGAAATTCTCATTACTTGAGCAAGTAGTTAATTATTCAAATCTCAACCTTTATGTATATGACAATTTCATTGGGAGGAAAATATCATTTGTCTTCAGTAATGGAAGAGATAATATCTGATTATCTGCTGTTAGTGGGGTTTAATCCTTACACTCAGCATAAAAGCCAGTTACTTTTGCAAATTTTAGAGCTAGTTGTCAATACTCAATAGTTCGTAAATATACTATATTTTTCATTTCTAATCGTTTTTTTTTGTTTTTTTATTCTTCAACTCTAATAAATTAATTTTTTTAAAATAATATCTGGGATTTGGTTTAAGGGCTGACCCTAGTAAAGTAGCAAGTTTCATGACTCGATAGGACCAGCCACGAAAAGATCATGAAAAAATAAAGGCTATTATCTTAATGCAATCATTCTCATCTTTTAATATTCAAAGGTTAACTCTAGAGATTTAACATATTTTTAATTTTTAAATGTATTAATTTAATGCAATTTTTTATTTTCCATGATTATCCTTCTATTATAAATAATCTTATTCAAGACATCATCTATTTGACATTAAACATGGACATCTATCCTAATGAGTATTTAAACCTAGATTTACATTATCATAAGAGACTAGTTATTTTTGCTAGACCCAACCGTTAGTTAATAGGGTTTGATTTTCAGAGGTGTATATAAAAAAAAAATACTTGAGAGAGAATATTCTGTTAAATGATGCTCAGATTTCATGCAATATTAGTCTCACGGTTGTTGTCTGTGATGATACATTGGACAAACCTATATATATTATACATACATATAAAATAAAGCTAACCATTAACAAATGTTAGTTATGCCTTGCGAAGGTCATCATCACCCATGATAGCTTGGCTGGCAATTTGCCTTTATGTTACAATAATTTTGGGCTTATTGGCATTATACCTATTCAGAAAAACGTGTTTTGCAATCTTTTTATTATTTTATTCGGCAAGTTAACAATCCAATTAAATCAAACCATCTCCACCAGAGTATTGCAAGTTAAAGACGGCCTGTAAAAATGCTCATGTTGTTCAAAGTTCAAGAGAAATGGCCCAAAAAAATACTGTTCAAGAGATTTTCAGAACCCCTCTACTCTTTTCAAAGGATCACAAGTGCCATTTGATATTAAAAGTTTTTTTTTGCCTTACATAAATATTATTTTATAAGAGGAAATTCTGTTTAAGATACAATGAGCAATATTAAATAAGTACATATTTTTTAGGGTGGATTTAATTTTTTTTACACATCTATCTTTATATTGAGAACATAATTCAATTCAAGACAAGGTGTAGAAAGAAAAGATACAATAGCAATTGATTGAATTGCGGTTAATGTTAAAATATTATTATAGTTTCAAATAAGCTCACAATTTACATATGCACAACAAGATGCAATATTGAGAAAACTAAATCAAATTAAGTAGTTAGTAAATAATTAAGAATATAAATGAAAAAAAATAGAAGTCATTATTTTTTTGTTATTATATGAGGGACAATTTTTATTTGTTTACCATTCGTTGCCATTCCTTCCTTATATAGATGGAATGATTTTCTTGGCTTTCGCTGAGAAAAAAGGTGTTAATAAGAATGTCAATGATGTAAAATTGGAATGAATTGTTGTTAATTTAAAATAAATAATTATTAAAATTTAAATAAATATTTATTAATAAAAAATTAATTTAAATTAATAAATATTCATTTAAACTTTAACAATAATTAATCATTGATTGATATAAATTTTTTACAGAGAACATTAATTGTCGTTTTCTCAATTTAATAAAAAGCTATGATTAACTTAACAAGATACTTAATCATGATGCTTCTCTTACGTCAAAATCTAACTTTGGTGATCCCTTACTTAATTTGGTAGATCCTATTTATTTTTTTAAAAAAAATTAACTATAACTTAGCTAAAATAGATAATAATCTATTTAATAATATATATTACTATTATGTCCACGCTATCATTCCTTTTTTTATTATTTAAATAGATAAAAGATATCTTCTATTTATTTATTTTTTTCTCATTTCACTTCATTATAGGAGTATGTATCGAACAAAGCCTAACTCATATTAAAAGGTAAATCGCTCTCTTCAAAAGTTATTAATAATGAAACTTATGTTCTACAGATATGAAGTATTTTACTATTTTTCTGAAAGGGAAAAGGTAAACTAAAGCTTTACATTTTATTTTATTTTATTTTTTAAGAAAATCTGCACATTTTATTTTTGACATCATTTTACCCAGCTGGTTAGCATGAATTCGAACACAATCATCTCTGGTTCTCTTCCTCTTCGGTCCTCACAGGCCATAATAAAATTAACTCAATCACAGAACTCAACGGCGCCACTTCTGTCTCCTTCAAAAATCTCACGAGCAATCCAGTTTGATCTCTGGAACATACGCAAAAAATGCTAGATCCAGCTAGTGAATTGTTGCCGGCACCGTCTTCGCCCACCATCTCCTCCGTTTCCTCCTCCGATCTCGACACTGAGGTGTCTCAATCTCACTTTCCTGATTTCACCATTTTTTCCTTGAATTAATTATTTGATCTTATTTTCGGTGTTGTTTACAGTCCACGGGGTCGTTCTTTCACGATAGGAGCACTACTTTGGGTACTTTGATGGGAGTGAGCTTTCCAGCCATTACTTTCAGAGCCACATCTCAGCATCGAGACCCTCATTCCGCCACCGCTGGATCCGTCCCCTCGTTAGGAGGCTCGAGGAGAGGCGTCAAGCCTAATAAGAAAAATAGGAGAGCAAAGGCGGTGGACGCGGCGGCGGTCGTGGCAGAAAGGCGAAGGAGATGGTGGAGCCTGTGCAGGGACGGCGACGCGAGGCCGGCAGCTTCGCTCGGTGACTTCCTTGAGGTGGAACGGAGGTTCGGCGACGGCGCGTTTTACGGCACAGCCGCTGAGCTCGAAGGAATGGTCATGGGTCAGCAGAGGAATGGTGGACGAATGTTATTCGCGAACGGTCGAGTTCTCCCGCCGGCCACCGACGTTGACGACGGAGCTTCGACGGCGGGGAGTCTGTGCAATAGATTTCCGGTTTCACTCACCGGGATCTGTAGCGGCGGTGCATAATAGATAGGATATATTTCTGAATTTTGAATTTTCAACAATAAAAAACCAAAAGAAAAGGAAAAAGAAAAAGAAAATTGGGACTGTCTTGACTCTTGAGTCTTGACTCTTGAGGGTTGTTTGGTTGATGATTAGTTAGTAATCTGATTATTTTCAGTGTTCACCTTGTGGCTTTGGTTTACAGGCAAAAGGCAAGGTGATGCCTTTTAGGCTTTTTCACTTTTTTCCTTTTCCTTTTATGATGCGGAGTGGTCCATATAATCAATCTACAAAATGGGTGATTGACGGTAATCATGTTTCACTTTTGGCAAAATTCAAATTAATTAATTATGAAAAATGGTTTTAGGTACTATTGCTTGATTGATGCATCAATCAACCCCACCTCCAGGAAAATAAAATTCTGTCCTCTGCTAAGATACAAATTTATGTCTCCCACTGTATCACTTCAAACAAAAGAGTGATCGATTATCCAGGGAAAAAGGCATCTTTTCTTTCTTACTCAGAAGAACTGTAATTTCAATTTCAAATTTTAGTAATAGACAGAACAGTTGCTATCAAAGCAGGTCATAGAGTTCCTTAATTATATATGTTACTTCATAGTTTTGTGGTTTTCATTGTTTAACTTGAAGGTGTACGTTTCTTTTTGTCGTTTCTCTTTTTTTGAACATTCGAAAACAAGTTCGTGTGGCTTCCTTCATGTGTCCTCATCCTTTTCTTTTGTGTTTTGTTTGATTCTATTAAAAGAAACAACAAGGAGGGAGACAACTTTGGAGTTTTACATTCGTTGTTTTTAAAACCTTTTTTTGTTAAGAAATTGGCTCGGAAATTGAATATAATCCTGAAATTATGTTCGTCTTAAGAAAGCCAGCATAAATTAAGTACAGTAGAGCTGACCTGAAGATTTAAATAATTTATAATCAATTTACCCATCATATATATTTCGAGCAGACCCTACAAGACTCCAACTTGCAATTCTTAAATTAACTCGAAAATAACCCCCCCCCCAAAAAAAAAAACTTGATATCTTCCTATTCCTATTCATCATTTTATATTTTACATCATTTGCTTACAAAATAATAATAATAATAATAATAATAATAATAATAATAATAAAGGATCTTTCTCCAATCGTTCTGCTGGAGAACTCAGACTTCAGGCTGCCCTGTTTCTGCTCTGTTTAAAACACTGCAAATAGTTGAGTTGGTGAATGGTGAGTTACTGAGTTCCTTGCACACATACTCTTTAAATGCTAAAAAGTAAAAACCCTGCCATTATTGCATCAGTGGAGAAATGGAGATTCATCCTTCGTAAGACTTCTCTCTTCTAATACATTCTCTTTATGTTAATAAATATAATCGTTCCAAATTAGCATTCCTTAATGTCAAAGGATCCAAAAATGCTTAAGATCTGATAAACTGCTTTTTAGATTTTCGCTGGTTTAAAAGCATCTGATAAATTGGAACTCTAAATTGATTCCAAGCGACTTTAAAACCCTCATGTGAAGCTTCTTGCATCACATGTGTTCTCAGTTTGATAGCTTAAACTTTTAACTCAAAGAAATATTTGACAAAGCATTTTTCTTTCTTCGTTTTCTTTTTCGGTTTAGATAAAATAAGAATGGTAATGTGTATAGCAAAGAAAATACAACAGATGTTGAGATCCAGTGGGATTTCCCAGAAATTAACAAATCCAATCTTGCTACTTTCCCGAGCAAAAACTCTGAATCTATGGAAGTTTCAGAGCAGGATTTGCAAGAGTAGTATTGTATGTATACAACAGATCTAATGTAAACTCAATATATATCAAGAATATCTACTAACAAGTACAAGGAATACACAGAAGAAAAAAAGAAAGGTTTTTGTCCATGAAAACTGCCTCAGGGAATTTCATCAATGGTCTCCAATGCAGGTCTCCAAGATCCCTGCTTTGAAAAGCATCTTTTCTCAATCTTCTCTCCCTCACAACCCACCGTATCATCATCATGACCTTCAAGTCTCTTTGCTTCAGAAGGAAACATACAGACAGGAAAGATCTTCCCCAGATTATTAAACCCTCCATGCTTCACAGCCCTAGAAGCTTTATAATTCATGGAGCTAATCTCTTCATGTGTCAGCACAGAGTAGAGCAGCTCCATGGGAAGAAGAAAGTAGAACTTTTTCCTCTCAAGCTCTTCATCAGCCAGAAGCCCTTGAATCCTATGACCTACTTTGAGGAAGCCAGAGTCACACACAAACTGACCGGGATTCTCAAGCATTAGTTCTGCAGCTTTCACTGCCCTTGTGTAGGACTCTAGCCTTCCATCTAAAGACAAGACCTTGATTCCCCCATTTGATATCATCAAGGAAGGTGTGCAAGAAGCTGCATTGCCCATATTTCTGACTTCTGAGAAAGAGACAAAGTGGGTTTGTGGAATTGTTCTTGTCTGGAAATGGTGGAGGGAAAGGAAAGGACTGAAGGAAGGTGGTGATAGTGGTGGTGATGAAGCTTCTGTGAATGTGAGGTACTATATATTCAGGCAAAGCAACCTGTCAGTTGAGAAAATAAAGAAAATTGTTGCTTGTCTTTTTTCTCGCTGAAGGTCCATGGATAGTTGGGTAATCTGTTGGCACATCTTATTTTGTGTCTTTTTATTTTTATATTAAAATTAATAATTGTTGTCGTACTCTTAGTGACATGTTTCGAGACCACAATTTTCCTTCTGGCAGTGGCTTTGTTTTATTTACTTTTATGCAGCTAGACAGTTTTTTTAGAAAAGTCCTCAAGTTGGGTACACTATACAATCGATTAATGTGCCAAAAAAAAAAAAGAAACAAAATGGATTGATAGATTATAAGTTTACAACATCTAGAAGCCCCAGTTCAATGAACTGCTGCTACTTTATTTGATAATCAGCTGATTTTTCAGTCATGTAAGATTCATGAAACCAAGTATTTCAAATAATGGGATTGAATGTTACAAAAAAAAAAGGGGGGGGATTGATTGACATATTATTTATGGATTCTTTTTTTGCAGAGACTTTAAGTGTAAAAAGTGGGAAACTTCTTTCTAACAGGGAAAAAAAAAATAGCCATGTGTCCTTGGCAACCATTTAAGCATACAACTTGTGTCCTTTTATGCCACTTTGAAGATCATATTCTATTTCCTGTATTAGGAGAGAAAAAAGAGCCAGCCTGTCAAATTTGGCCTATTCTAAAACTTTGTGAGATAAAATACCTAGAAATGGGGCCTTTGAATGCAATTTTCCCCTTGCCAAAAAAATAATTGGAATTGAATTTCCAAATTAGTTAAATTGTGTGAGAAAGAGTAAGCAAGTTTTTTATTGTAATAGCAGCGGTGCACATGGAGAGGGGTGGAGGAAGAGGACATGAAACGCCACAAAAGGACAGCACCAAACCCATGATTAGATATGGTAGGAAGCAAATTGCTTGATTTTATTCTATTTGCAAATGAAGGAGAGGCCCTTCACTCTTCATCTAATGGCTTGGAATACTTAGTATTGTGAACAAACAAACAAACAAACAAACAAACATATTTGTGTTGTTGGGAGACGTGAAAGGGCCATCATCTTCTTTCTTCTTCTTCTTCAACATCATCTAATGGCAAATGTCAAATCTTTTTGATTTGGTATCTGGTCGCTATCTATCACTACCCAATGCTAGCTTGCTCTCATATATTCCCCATCCCATGAATTAGTTTTTAATGCAGTTCATGAACTAAGCTTCACTTGCATGTGCTTCTGCTCCCATCTGGCCCCCTTTCATTATTTATCCTCTTAGCGGCTGATTTTATCTCTTGCTTCTGCTTCATCTGTCAGATCCATTTTGGCTCAAGATTTCACCCAAATCATTCCGTCCTTTTTGCCTCTTGTAACTCAGCTTAGGACTTTTTTTCCCCCTCTCACTCAGGCCTCGTTTAGTATGATAGAAGAGTATTTGATAGAATCGAAATCGAAATTGAAATTAGAATCAGAATCGGAATCAGAATTGAATTGAGTTTTAAAAGTGTGTTTGGTATGAAGATGGAATCATGATATAATTTTAATAAGTATATGTATTTAAAATATAAAAAATCAAAATACCCTTTATTTTATTTTTTTAATGAAATACTTAACAATAAAAAAATAAAGAATGTACTTTTAAAGCTCAAAATACCTTTTATTTTATTTTTTTAATGACACATAAGCCAATTCCATGTTGAGTTAGTGGATTCCATAGTCTCTACAATGGAATTGGATTCCATCAATTTTAATAGAATCAGATTCCTTCAAGAAAGCAATTCTGATATACCAAACAAGCCAACTGAAGAATTTCATGTCCAATTTCATTTCCCTTTTCACAATTCTGATGTACCAAACATGGCCTCAGTTTTTTTGAGAAAAAAATTTAAACAAATTGAATCTCGAACTCACTAAAAATTAAGGCATGTTTTTAAACTTAAAAACACTTACAAATACATTTATAAATCATCCATCAATGAATATGTTCACATCGACAATAGAATTTATACTTACAATTTTATAAATTATAGGTCAAATATTCATCATCAATTAGATCAACATTTGTTATTACAGTTGAGAATGAAGGGTGGACTTGACGAATCTCTCATTTAAACTCATTTTTATAAGGATTCAGATTTGAAATTTTTTTATTTTTAATATAACTAAACTTTTAAGCAAGCCCTAACAAACCCTAAAAAAGGAGCTCAAGCCATTAGTTTAGGTCTTTTTTTATTTTTTCTCAAAAAATAAAATATTTTTAAATTAAATTTAGGCTTTAAAAATATTTATTTATAATTTAAAATTAAAATTTATATTACTTATTTATAATTTTTAAACATTATAATTTATATTTTAAAAAAAGAATATATAATATTACATTGTAAAAATTAATTTTTTCAAAATAAAAAAAATAAAAAATGGGTTTACAGGCTTAACCCTAAACTCAATCAATAAGGACAAACTTAAAGAAATGCCTGATTTTATGGTAATTGAGTTTTCAGGCTTGAATTCATATGAGTTGAGCTCACTTATTCAACGGCTCTATTTGTTTGTGCCTTCTTACTCACTTTATTTCTCTCTCTCTCTCTCTCTTGCCTTCTTGATCATCTAGTATCCTGATCCTACCATATTTCAATTGAAGGATTTATTAGGATATTGATTCCAATCTAGTTAGGTTACAACAAAAGGGCGGCAAAACTCTTCTACTATGGCTCAAAAGGAAATATCTATTTAAGCACAACCTTATTCTCAGTATTCTATGCAACTAGTGATGAGAATGAGACTCTCCAACTAT